AAGTTTATGCTTATTGAAGATTCAGGAGGAAGAAGAGTGAACATATCTCTAGAAAAATGCACTGATAAAAAGAAATAGCATCAAAAGTGAAATGCTCACTGCATCCAAAGTCCATGTGGGTTAGTGGTTCTCTGAGCCAAATCGCTTGAGGTTTTGTTAGAAAGTGAGTACTTTCCTTGTGATAGACAAGTCTCCCGAATGTCCACACATGGTGGACATGTGGTTTCCAATTATGGTTTCAATACCTGTCCCTGATTCCCCTTGAGTGTGAGAAAAGACTAACAACACATCTGGCATGCATGTGGCTTCTCCTCCATGAGTTGAGAAGAGGAAACTAGAGACAGAATCAGTCTGTATTTCTATACAGAAAATTACAATAGCCAAGTATCCACACCTGTTCATGCCTAAAGTCCTGTCTGGCTGAGTAACAAAAAAATAAGAAATCAAATTTTTAAAAAAGCCGATCTTTGTTACCATATTCTAAATCACATTGAAAAGGCAACACCGAGGCTTGACTTTACTTGTAAATGAAATTCGACATGAGAATTTGGTGACATGGCTGGAGAGAGGTTATTTCTTCTGGTACCATCTGAGGCTGTACAATATCCTTTCCTTTGTAGAGAGTGTTTGATAATAGACTTGCTTAGTAAAACTGAAATTTATCTCTGACCACAGTAGCCAATTCCAGAAGTCAGGAATAGGCTTATATAGTAAGCTGAGATAGAGAATTACCACACCTAGAATTAGAGTTTCATTTGTGGATCTAGTGCCAAATAGATGCAGTCATTAAGCATCTAGATATTTGTTTCCTACAGGAACACACATTTTAGTGGTGTAGACAAAGGAAGTTCTTGGGAAGCCTTGTACATTGTGGCTGCACTGACAAGCAGGGTGACATGAGAGCACTGGAACAAGAGTCATGGTGTGGATGGCTCAGTACTCTGGGACGACAGTGCAAGTCTCTCCCAGGACAGATCAGCTGGCAATTCCTGCCAAATGCATTGCCCTACTAGATGCTCCTTTCCTAGCTTCTTACCTGGAATCACGTAACCCATGCCAATAGTCTTGTCTCTTTTCCTTTTCTAGTAGTGGCACCAACCTAGTGGCGTTGCTGCTGGCGTTGCTTTGCCAGTGTCTCAGTGAGAGTTACTTGGTTTGCAGGGCTACATTTCTCTAGATCATGGTAGAAATAAAAAAGTATGGAAGAAAACCTAAGTAAAATCTGTCTCACATGGACATAACAGTCTTCCATGTTTAGTTTCATAAGCTGAGAAAGCAAAGGATTCTTCACTGTGATATTTCTGCCTCTTTGGAGAAACCGTCTTCTTGAGACAGGCAATGGGTAAATGGACTCAATGCACCAATGCTTCTCCCTTTCTTCTGTAGGCAATTCTGGATGTCGTTCACTTATGCTCCTTTGTAAGATCTAGTGGCACTGAGGTCATTTTCTAACAGTAGCAAACTTAATGAACTTTCATGTTAATTTTTGTGATTTTCTGTCTCACTTTCCCTGTCCATATCTTTCCTGGCTTACTGGTATCATGTCTGAAATGAACTACCTGCCCAGTTGTCTCTGAGTGTCCTTGTGCTACAGCTAATTCTCCTACCCCCAAGTAATCTTATCTTCTTAGCTAACAGACTTATAGCCCCCCTTTTTCATTTAACCTTGTTGTTGTAGCGACAAGCTAAAGATGGCTCTGATTATAGGCACCAAACCAAGGACAGTAAATCTGAAAACATTGCCTCATTATATTCCTAGGTTTGCATATTTTGTTGCATAAGTTTCTACTTCTCTGTCAAAGATATTTTGGTGTCTTTTAGGAGGCCTGTAACTAGAATTGCCCTCACCATAGAAGAGTATCAGTAGAGAAACTCTAAGATCCTTATTAGACAATAAGTTTTGTTATTAGTTGCATTCACTATGAAAATAGGACAGAGGACATATACAGACCCCAGAAACTCAGAGAATTGAGGCAAGAGCCATGGAAACAATTTCCAGGAAACACTACTGTGTTCTAAAAAGTGAATTGGTCACATGGGCTAAACTGGACTTCAGAACAATTACAGAGTTATGGTGATTGATTACTATTAGGTGAACATTGTTCAGCTGTTTTGAATAGAAGTATCTATAGTGGTAATCTTCTGCTTATTTTAGTCTTGTATTTTGTGTAGGTAGGGTCAAGTAATTTGTTCAAATAGTGCCCAAAGCCTGTGATCAAGGGTAATGATACTTAAAGAGTTAGGCCCAGAAAACAGCATTGGAGAAACCTCATTTGCTATTGAATTTGATCACAAGTTTCCTGGACTTAGTCCTTTGGATACTGTTTTGTACAAACACTCAGGACAATTTGGCACAGGGAAGATACACAGTAGTGTGCATATGGAAGAAATGTAAATTCTTCTACGTAGACAATTAGCTTTAGAGATTACTCCAAAGATAACTATAAAAACACCCTACTTCTATGGTAATCTAAAATCTTTTATTTGTGCCTTAAGAAACAAGAAAATTCCCTCTTATTGACTTTGGAAAGGCTTGTCATTTGTAGGTAGCCAACAGAAAGTGGCACATATGATGCTATAAACTTCAAGAATAGGTCATAAAAAGTGATTTAAAGTTCCTAATTGGAGTAGGATGTTTAAATGGAGTTAATATGATAACTGAAGTATTTGAAATGAGATAGCAGTGGTGGTCAGTTGCTGAGACTAATGCCCCTAAAACCATGAGCCTAATTAAATCTCTAAGTTGTGGACAGTGAGCACTGTTCTTGGTTATAGCACTGGTACTGAACGTTATACTTGCCTTGAAAATGAAGGGATGAGTATTCCTAGTACTTCGGAAGCATTTGAGAAGGATTGGCATTATTTCTTCTGTAAATGACTAATAATCCAGGCATCAAATCATTTGGTTCTAAGCTTATCTTTGATTGAGGCCATTAATTAACTAATGATTCAGTATCCCTTACTCATTATTGGTCTCCTGTGATATCCTATGTTTATGATTCAGTTTTTGTTGACTAAATGTTTCTAGAAATTTATCCAATTTTTCTAGGTTAAACAACTTGTGACACAGTAGTTCATAACAGTATCTTGTGATTCTTTGTATTCCAATATTACCAGTTGAAGTACCTATACTTTCAATGATGATTTTTGAGACTTCTTTCTTATTTTCAAGTCTTCCTGAGAGTAATGATTTTGATTAACTTTAAAAACTCTTAGTGTCATTTACTTTTTCTGTGGTTTAAATAGTGTCTAATTAATTTGTTTCTACTCTGATTTTGTTATTTTCTCCCTTCTGTTAATTTTGGGCCTAGTTCCTATTTTCCAATACCAGGTGGTATAATATTAGGTTGTTTATTTTATATCTTTTTTCTAGAAAGTTGCGATTGACTTTGTTCCTAGAACAGCTTGGCTGAATGAGGTTTTGCATTCCCCAATGGCCCTAGACCACAGAAAGTAAAGATCTAAATACAAAATGAATCTTCTTCCAGAAACTTTGTACCAATGGAGGTTCCACCCTGCTGTGAGGCTGGGAATTTCTCCCAGTTGCTCCCTCTGGCTTAGTGTAGACAGAATTAGAAATAAACATATACACTTAGCTTCACCACAAACATAGAAGAAACACCTATGCACCTTCGACACGCCACCTTTTCCAGACACATCTGGAAGTTCTGGCTTTTATGTTACTGGTTCTGAAGCCCTGATTGGACATGGCACATTCAGGGATCCATCAAAAGTAGAATTCATACTGAATAAGCACAAAGAATGGAGAGGCACCTTGGTCAGACAGCTTCATGAAATTCATCTTTATTCTTTTAGGACTCGTCTGATAAAAGTTAACTTTACAGTCAAGGTTCGACTCTTGAATCTGAAACCTAATTTTATACCTCTGAGTCTCTTCCAAAATACTTTGGATTTTTTCTTCTATGTGGTAGATGTAATTAAGAAATAACAATTACACTGAGTTTAGCATACTCATCATATGATGTATTTTTCTTGTCAGTGTTATAGAGCATTTCATTCTCCCTGAGTCACTTTATGATCTCTTCCATGTTTCTTGTTATTGGCTTGGTCTTGGTCAGAATGTGAGAAAATAGTGTGTCTTCCAGTATACTAGAAAACACCTCAGACTGACAAAAATTGAAGCAGAGCTGAGCAAAGTCAATCCAGCAAGGTAAGGAAAGTGGTAAACTGTCATACATTGATACATGTTTTTATCTGTCTTTCCCATTCAGGCCAGGTTTCCCATTCAGGCTAGGTTTTATGTCTACTCCTCCCTAAAACATCCTTCCCTCACTGTCCCCCATCTGTTACTTGACTACATAAAATGATCAAGCTACAATAAAACCCATTCTCCTTGAGAATAGTCCTCTAGTCTAGTTTCTAAACCTGATATCATCTTATCATTATGATCACTAGTTGAATTTTTAATATATCTACACTAAACTATGGTCCTCCTACTGGAATCCAGAGTCAGAAAATGTGAGTTTTAGAAAAATAAAGATTCAGATTTGGAAGCATAAGCCATGCCCTCAGATGTTGGGCATCTCATGTATTGTTATTTTGTCAAGGATGAACCAGGCAAGTGATAGTGGGGCCAGGACTTTCAAGCTAGAGGCAAACAGTGAACGAGAGAGGAACAAATGCAGAACGCCATAAAACAAGATGGAAGAATTCTATTAAATGGTTACCTACTACCAAAACCACCACTTAGTTGCCGATATTATTCAGCTGTATTGCAAATATTTATATAGTGTTTACTCTAGGTTTGATAGTGCTGTTTCTATGTGACACTCCTTATACTTCTGAGGATTTTACGAATAATTCACTGTTTCCCAGAGTTGGGAGACTGAGGATTCACAAAGTACCTATGTGTTTTCCTTTATGACAAAATGTGGAAGGAAGTAAATAAATATAATTGATGAAAAAGAAACAGATAAAAAGACTTCCTTGCAGAAGACACTTTACCCCATAATATCTTCAAAGAAAAATGTTGATGCACATTATATTAGCTAGAAATATTTTAATATGCTTTTTAGAACATAAACTTTCTAGTGAATTTCATATTTGTAGTTATCATTATTTCACACATAAGTCACATCAATCTGTGAGCCAAAAATATAGATATAAGTGTTCCTACATTTATAAGAACAGTATATAAAGAAAGGTAGCTATAAAAAGGACCTTGGGAAAAAGTATTAGCTGTGTCATTCTTTTACCACTTAAAAATATGGTGTTAGATATGGCTGTAAGCATTGTCTTAAGAACAGTTAAATTATTGTGTCTCATTCTTTGTTGTATTTGAATCCTAAATTATACAAGTGGTACTTTCTAAAAGTTAGACATTAAATTTAGACTGGCCAAGTTTAGTGGAAGCAAGAGTCTCACTATACTCTTTACTCAACTGCCATATAAATTGGCCGTGGGGATCAAAAAATAATCCAATATTGGCAAGTTGCTAGCATGAGTCGTTATGGTTCACAATATAACCACTCCATCATTAGAACACGTCAAGGATGATTAAATTTGCAAAGTGTTGTGGTTATATTCCTTTAAAAAGTCCTTTAGCTTATATTCTGCTACTTTTTATGGGTGAAATGGTATTAAGATGAAAGGGTGAAAGGGGTGCAATAAATCATCAGTTAATTAATTAATTAATTAATTAATCGTCAGTTAATTATTGGTGATCTGAATGCCCAGTGTACAACTGCTTTCCTTCCTTTAATCATACTTCATGGATAATTGAAATTTTTTTCTTACTGTTTATTTTTCTGAAATTCTGTATTGTTTCTACCCTTTTTATCTGTTTTTTTTCTTTAAATAAAAAAACAAGTGTGTAGGACTGATAGCCATATTACTAAGTTCTTGTTGGATCATTGAGCATAACTGTTTGCAGTGTCATTGTTTGAATATCACTTTGTATGCTTTAATTTTGTAACTTGAGCAACTTCTAAGATGATGGTATGTAACTTATTGACTGGTGATTTCTTACTGTTTATTTTTTTGAAATTCTGTATTGTTTCTACCCTTTTTATCTGTTTTTTCTTTAAATAAAAAAGAAATTTTTATGATAAAATGTTTAATTAACTACAGTATATTGAAGATTATTTCTGCTGATTTATCTAAATAGTATAGATTAGATCACCATATTTAGGCACAAGTTTTTTCTCTAATGAAATACCAAATATTGTTTTCAGTACTTCATCTATTTCTTCATCCTTCAGCATTTTAAACTCTACAAGATCTGTGTTTTCCTTATAATTGAATCTCGTGTAGGTGAAAGTCCAGCCCACTAAACAGTGAAACCCTTCTGGTGTCTGCAGAGAACACAGTGATTTGGTTTTAAACACTGATGTTGGTGATGTCTGAAGGTATGCATTTATAGACTCGAAATCTTCAATTGTTCGAGGTTCAAGAGTAAAGGAATAAATTTTCCGATGTTTCTTCATTTCTAGAATGTCGGAGTCAAGAAATTGTGGGTTTGAAATATGTTGTTCCCTTCTGATGTGGTCCAGGTACCAGGTTCCGTTTTCTTCTGTCAGTCGGAAAATGGCAGGCACCTGAGGCTGATCCTTCCCAGAAATTAATTCCAGAGGCTCCCAGAACTGGTAGGAGCGACCAAACCCAGCATCAACAATGTAGTTTCTGTCACTGATGGTCACCAGTACTAGCAAGTGAACCATGTTACTGCTATAATTGCCCACTGAAGAGATGTGAACATAGCCTCCCAACATTGTGGTCTTAAATCCCATGGTGGACAGAGCCCAGTATAGAATATGATTGACCTGGAGACACCACCCACCCCGGTTCTTTCTCACAATTAGATCAAAAAGAGCCTTTAAGTCCAACTCCATGGATTCTCCGCAATGCATGCTAAGATTCTCAACAGGAATAGCTCGGAAGTGGTGTTGAAAAACATCAGTTAATGTTTCCAGGTCCAATTTGTTTCTAGAGTTCTTATAACCAATTCTTTTGAAATATTCTTCAATATCCATGGTCTCCTGAGGCAAGGAAATCAAATCAAAAAAGAAATATTACTGAATATGCTATTGGATTTTCACCAGTAGACTAATTACAGCTGGAATGCATTTTAGGTGAGTAAGTACAAACTGTTTATAAATCTCATTAATAAAATATGTGAACTGATTTATAGTTCACATATTCATTAACAATTCATTAAGTGTCACATATTCATTAAATATTCTCAGTGACCCTGGTACAAATTTATAACAAACATAATTTCTTTCATTTTCCAGGACTAGACATTGTAAATCCAGGTTGTACTGAGACCAATGATAACTAGCTTAGATATGGATTTCTTGGTGATTAAAAAAAGCATATTCCAATTGATTTTCATTAAAGTAAGCTTCTTAACCACTTCTTTATATAAACAAGTTAACCATTCAATAGAGTAGATCATATTTATGGCAACTGACTCAGTGAATTTAACAATTAGGCAAAACTTATATAAATTTCTCCATTAAAAAATTCACATGTATTCACTCATTCATTTGTTTATTCATTCAACAATTAGTACACTGGGCTTGTGTGTATTTGTTAGTAGATCATATGCTTAACAGATGTAGATATGAAGGTCTCAGTCCAAATCCCAGCACCAATAAAAAGAGTCAGTAAAACTTTAAGGATATAAAATAATGTGTTGTAAGAATACACTCCCTATGTTTACAGCAATCCCATTAAGCTAGCATTCTTTCTGTTCCTTATATTCAGGAGGACATTCTCATACTTGCACAAGCTTTAAATCTCTAGTTTTCAGGCTCATAAAGAATGAATTGATGTGACCAACCTTCCCCAGTGCCCTCCTGGTTCCTAACCAAGAATCTGCACAGGGTATGTATGGGGAAAAAAGCAGTGATCTGGAGGATTAGGTGCTTTATGCATGCTGCGAGATTTGTTGCTTGTGCCATTAATTCCTATCTTTCTTTTTGAATTCTATAATATGTTTTTAAATTTTTGTTCTTTTCTCTGGAACCTTCAACAGTCAATCCCAGTATTTTTTACTCTGGTGCTTTAGCACCTTTTGTTTTTAAAATGAAAATTTTGAGTTGGAATTTGATAATTTCAGGTCCTTTGAAATGAAATTAATATTTGTTAGGAACCTCAACATTAGCAACATGTAGGTAAATAATGGTATTCTGCAAATAAATTGAAAAATTTTGTATTCCTGAAATGTGATACAACAAGAAGGCACTTGAAAAGTACCTTCCGGGGAAAGAGTTGACTGAAAACAGTATTTGCTTTCCACATGGGTCAGTAGCATCTCTGTGCAGGGCCACAGCATCATTTCAGTTTGATGCCCCACAGAGGAGGTTTACAGAAAGCGGAGTGCGCATGCTCAGGGAGCGCATTGAGAATCCAGAGGAAGGCATTTTGTACCTGTTCTGGTAAGCTGAGTATCAGTTGTTTGTCAGTATTCACTCAGAAGTCTTGGAACATTTCTTCTTCTGGCATAGATTCTAAAAATGACAGGGAAGATAGTTTCAAAACAATATATGATATCTTTCTCAAAAATGAAAGGATAGTTTTATAGATGACTACTTATGAAGAATATGCAATCAGCAGGAACAGACAGAGTTGACAAAATGGTGAAACAACCAAGTTTCCCTGGCAAGGATGGGGAGGTAATGGAAGCAGCCCTGAAGGGTGTAAGACTGGGGGTTCTGGGAGCCCCACAAGGTTTCACAGAAGCAGCCACCCAGATGATTATTAAGGTAACAGGAAGGTGGACTGAAGCATGTTCCATGTCCCTGATTACCACCAATACATGCAGTACAGACAGCAAAGAGCAGTATGTACTGGTAACACAAGGATTCATTTAGATGGCAAAACAACTACAGGGACAGAACAAGGAAGAAGTGGTTTTAAAGAAGGAAAATCATACATGAATATGATGACAAAACACATGAACATAATACGATGCTGTGATTAGAAAAAAAGATGTAACGTGAAAAACTTCCATGCCAAAAAACACAACCATGCAAGAAGAAAAAAATTAATAGAAAGGAGTTCTTCTTAGGAACACAGCAAGATAGAGCATGTAAAATGAACTCGTTAACAAAAAAACTAAAGAAATAATCTAGTGTATGAAAAGAAAGATTTGAGAACATAGAAAATGAATTGAACACAGAGGTAATGCATAATTAATGAATGATAGCTGTATAGATGCTATATAATATCACAATAATTTTCAGAAAGTAATTACATTCATAATTAAAATTTTAAGAAAAGATAAAGCCATTCCAAAAGCTAACTAAAAGCTAATAGAAATGGGGAGAAGACTGTCTTCCTTTTTCAGAATATTGAGACATAATACACAAGGCCCAAAATTCCAGGAAGAAAAGTTCATAGTGGGTCAGAGTTTGTAAATGTTTTGATCAAGTCAGCTGGCTCCAACACAGGGCAGCATGGCAGAGAGCTCTGGCAGAGGAGAGAGAGCCAGTGGCATGGGAATTGGAAGCAGACAGGGGACAAGAGAGTGAGAAACAGAGAGAGAGAAAGAGAGAGAGAGAGAGACAGAGAGAGAGACACAGAGAGAGAGAGAGAGAGACAGAGACAGAGACAAAGAGACAGAGATCAATGGAGGAAGAATGGAGATAGACTTGTCAGGCCAGAGTCTAGTGAACCACTTTTTCCAACATGGCTTCATCTCCCATCACACTTAGCTATAACCTCATCAGTGGACTAATTCTCTGCTGAACAGTAGACACCTATGATCCAGTCACTTCTCCACAAAGCTTTAGGAGGACATCTAGGGAAAACAATCACAAAGAAAATCCACTTGGAGCTTCTGGGAGGAAAATTCAAAAGTATAATACAAACTAGTCAAAAGACATTTTATACATACACAATACAAACAAACATTTATTTTTTTCTGAAATAAAACAGAAGGAAAAAATGAAAAAAGACAAGATGATTCTGGACAGTTTGAGTGTACATACTTGACACTCAGATGTATTCTTGTTAAATTTGTGAAATTTAAAAAAGAATTATTGAAACATATGAATTATGGAAGCATTTACTCCATAATGAAGATAATATCAGGGAGACAAGAGAATATTCTACAAAATTTCTAAAATGAGGTAAATGAGCTATGTCTACAAAGTACTGAAGGAAAGTCAGATCTTCCATTATTATTATGTTAGGATTACTTGAATCAAAATGGAGACACAATACAAAGCCAGTCTCAAACATGAAGAACTTGAGAAATACAAAAGCCATAAGCCATTATCATGAAGTGTTTGCACTTTAGTGGCCAGTGGGGGGGAAAAAAATCAAAGGGAAAACTGGAAATAAGCTACAATGAAGAATTTCTGTGAGCGCTGGATGATGATTACGTAGGCTATTGAAAAAGGTAGTTTACTCTGAAAAACCAGAAATAAGTGAAAATTAAATTTGAAGTCCAAAAAGGAGCAGAATGAGAATATCTGAATCAGTATGGTCAGTGCTGGAACTGTTAAAAGACAAACTTGGGAACATTCAAGTTCTAAAGAACTTACTGGGGCAGACTGCAGTTCATGAGTCAGACAGCACCAGATCCCAACCAATTTGATGCTAGAGATGGGAGGAGGAGGGTGGACAAGAGAAGGACAAGGGAGAAGAAGGCAGAAAGAGACTTTTGTAAGACACTCATGGAAATCAACAGACAATACGTACTCAGTAGAGTGGAAGTTCTTAGTTAGAACTTAGTTGGTGGCTCCAGAATGGAAAACTCTCAAATATCCTGTGAGTGTTTAGTTTTGTAACACAAGTATTGGAAAAGTTCGGCCCAATGGTTAACCAACTAAAATATTTTTACAGAACATATGTGTGTTAAATTATTGAAATATAAAGCAGAATCATATAGGTATAATCAAAGAGAGAAATAGAACCAAGAAGGAACTAAACAGTACAGTTCCTATCTAAAGTAATTTAAGAAAAGAAGTTAAATACACTGCGACTGATGTGGAGCCCTTATGACCTCCTCTCCATCACAGTGTGAAAAGCAAATGGGAGAAAATGTGTTTAGCAGATGTAGAAAGGGTCCCTGGTCCACTGGGTCAAGGAGGCTTAAGGCCTGAAGTAAGTGTGGGGATAATGCTCTCTGTTGAGATGTCTCGATCCTCTGTATTTATCTTACCATTCCCTGTTTCCCTGGCCTGGCCTGTATCTTGTCCTGAAGGCTCTGCCCATGAGGTTCTCCTTGGAGGACCTAGGGCTCCTGAACTGTCCTTGTCCCCTTTTGCTGAACTCCGGATGTGCAGAGATTGATACCCCTTCAGAACAGCACTGGGACACCAGCTTGTTGGTGCCAGTTCCTTAGGAATAAATGGCTGCCTTGCCTTCAGTCTGAACTAAGTGGGGTATTTTTTTTTCCAGTAATTGGTTTTGAACCCAGGTTCTCACATAGCCTACAGAATTGCTTTATCACTGAGTTACAGCCTGCGCCCTTTTTACTTTTTAGAGATAAGGTCACTCTGAGGTGTTTGGGCTGAGTTCCCACTTGCGATCCTCTCACCTCAGCCTCCCCAGCAGCTGGAGTTAGAAGAGCTTACTACTGTGCTGAGCTGGACCAACCTGGAGTCCCTAATTAACACGCAGGCACAGCTAAATTCCTCCCATTTCCCTAGGTCACTGGTACACTGATCATTGTCCCAGTGTCTGAACACCTCAGTATTCACTTGGGGAGCAGGAAGCTGTCACTCACAAAATGAAGCAACTTCAGAGGCCTTGCCACTCTGTAAATATTTGACTCACTTCTGCATATCTGATGAGTGCTATTTTATCTCATGGTCAAAATGCAGTGTTACATGAACTGATCTGATTCATCCCTGAATGATACAACACTTTCATTGCAAGACACTGTTAAAGAGTCTTGATGTCTAGAACTCTTTGTTCAATACTCAATTCTAGCATCTGTCAGGTGCAACAGTGGTTTTCAGGTTTTTGGCTAAAAGAAGAAAAAGAACTCTTGATTTTTCCAAAATGGAATTATGAGCAGGACCCAAGTACAAAGGAATTAAAAGGAGACTGATCCAGAGGGACACCTTCCATAAGATGTTGCTGTCATGTTTTAAGTCTACAAGCAGCTTTCATGGTAGGTAGGTCTTGAGATGGAATCCTCTACACCTACTGCATGGACTTCTGTCATTTCTGAGCAGAAACTCGAAGAAGTGGTGAGTCACTTTTGCCTCCATGTATGTTTTTTCCACTTCCTTCTATATTTTCTTTGTTCTTTTGTGAAGTTCTCAGCCACGACAGTATACCTAGCAAGCCCTCAGAGAATCTGGATGGAAACGCTGCAGCTTTTCTGGAACTCTCTTTGCCATATAGAAAGAGCACTAGTCAATTGTCCTCAGTGTACAGAACACTTGCTTTTCTACTGTGACTCCTAACAGTTGGGTAAGTGTTGTGTGCTATTAGCAGCAAGATCAAACAGCCAGATTAAAAAGGAAATCTTAGCTGAGGCCAGGAAGACTACACTAAGTAGGTCTCTGGGTAGGAAGTAGCTAGAAGATGAAACAGTTAAAAAGTTTCTTCTGAGGGACAGGATGTAGTCAGCAGCCTTGGATTTAAAACAGTTAAAGGAGGAGCCTTGATACGGAAAGTATGAGAAAGAAACCACCAAGTGTACTGTAGCTGTGGGCATCCTGCCAGAGCACAGAGCAGAGTCCAGAGCAGCACTTACCAGGCTCCTAGGCCTGCAGTTCTTTCCTTGTTGCCGTGGAGCCTTACAATTCGTGCTCTGGGTGTTGCCTTCTTACCAGACCTAATGTAAATATGGCCATGTATTTGGTTATCACAGCTCCTGGAGACCCTCCCTAGTAAGTCTCCTAACAATGTGGCAAAACTTCCCTTAGGAACTCTTCTAGTCATTTTTGATAAAACTAATCCAATTTGTTGGACATTTGAGATTATTTGGAAGTTTCTATCAGGCTGCTTTAGGAGCAGTGGGAATAGTTACGAACTTGGATACACTCCACCGGGGTCAGAGAAAAGAGGGTATTGCTAAAGGTATACAAGAGGAAAATCTAGTTCAGGAATGTGCCTTAAACACAGCAATTTTTAAAAGTGCATATTTTTCCTGTCTCACAACAAGTCTTCAAGGTAAACACCATTATTTGTTCTTATTTTACTGATGCAGGAACAGAGTTCGAGAGAATTTGAATGTCTTGTTTAAATTTTCACAGCTAGAAAGTGGAATAGCAAACCAAGCCAGTTTGATAAGGCACTCCAACACTATCTGCTGTAGTCACTATTACACTGCAAAACAGTTACAGTGTTAGATACCACGGAGATGCAAACTCAGTTTTCTAAACAACTTGTTTTCTAAACAAATTTCACCGTTTGAACTTCAGGGATGGAATAGAATCTAGTTTCCTAGACAGCCCTCTGAGATCAGATTTCTGCAGTGACAAAGTACAAAGCAAACGCAGGAAGGAGTTCCACTTACCCCATGCTATGGCACTGCCACCAGGAAAGGCTGAGGGCTGTTCTGTTTGTTCCAAGGTCTGCAGAAAAGCAGCCCTTGGCTTTCCAGAGTGCCCGTCCCAGGGGAGGTACTTGGCACGAATCAGCCCATGAGATAGGCTGCCCTTGTGCCTAACTGAAGTTGGGAGATAAATGTTCTTTTTGTCTGCTCAGTTGGGATTGCTTATACAACAGTAATTCTTGATGTTGTTCATCGTTTTTATGATACCCTTGTCTCTAGGTTACTTACCAAGAAGGCAGGCTTTGCTGATTCTCAAACCATCATTCATTTATCTTTTCTTCCTTCCAAAGCATCTTACATCTACCTGTCCTTAGAATGGATCCTCTCATCAGTACTTTCCAAGTATTACATAGGTATGTAAATATTTACGTTGCAAAATAACCTATTCGCTACACATCCCAGGCCTGACTTTTCTCTTTATATTATAGTTACAGTCAGAAGATAAGAGGGAGAATAATATTGAAATAAGTATAGTATAAACTATAGCTGTCATACTAGAATCCAGAAGCTGAAAGTAGAGTTTTGGTCAAGCAAAGATTCAGATTCAGAAGCACAAGTCATGGTCTAGGTTGTGGTATCCTATGTGTATCAATATTACATCAAGGAAGAAGCAGGCATGTGACAATGGGACCAGGAAAGAAAGAGAAAAATAAAAAGACAGGGTAGAGACCGCCTGTTGGCTTGTGTTGCTAATGTGGCATGGGATATTTCCACGCCTCTAGTTCTGCTGTCTATCGTATGTGCCTTCGCTGTGGTCCTAGTACGTCACTGGTGTTCCCATGGGTCTCTGGGCCCCGAGTCCTGCCAGCCTCCTGAGGCAGGGAGGGGCGGATCTCAGACTTCTCTCACTAGCCCACAGACCCAGGCCAATCGAAGAAGTGGGGAGCTGAACTCACATTCCTGTCTCCAGCTGAGGTGTCCCAGGTCAATCAGAAAGAGGGAAATAAAGCAAGATGTAGGAGAATTTTGATTAAATGCTGACCTAGAAATTATTACTGAAATTATTTAGTCATGTATATATATATATATATATATATATATATATATATATAGATGTAATATTACCTGTGTATTTGTATGTATGTGTGTTGCTAGAAATCACACGCAGGGCCTCATCCTTGCAAGGAAACTGTACCACTGAACTGCATGCCCAGACCTGTGTGGGGGATTTTTGCTCTAGCTCTCCTCCTGCATATTAGTATTAAATTTGTTTTTGTCTTGACAAGTCACAGATTTATCCAATAATTAACCCAGCATTCGCAGAAACTGAACTTATATATATATATAAAGAACATCAGTTTTCTTACAATTTTAAGCAAAATGTGGAAAAAAACAAATGACTAGAACAGGGAGAGAAGACACAGTATGAAAAGGCTGCCTTGCAGAAGCTACCTAACTCATAGTAAAACAAAATTGTTTCTCATTGTATTAGCCAATAATGCTTTAATATACTTCACAGACAACAAATATTTCCAGATGACTATTTTATAATTCATAATGTTTACTATTTTTAGATATGAATAAATTAGTTCTGAAAGCTTCAATTTCTAAATATCAGTGTTCCCATAGCTGAAAACTAGTTTAGAAAGTGCTGTGGCATTATGTGTACCCTAAGAAAGCATGTGGATCAAGAGATGGCTAGACAGGGGAAAGAGTAAAACAAATGGGGATAAAAAAAAGAATTAATAAGAGTTATGCACATGTACCAACTTCACATAAAGGATATAAGCATTAGGTACTACACACAAGTATTAGAAAAATAAAATTTAAAAGAAAAGAATTCTAAAAAATTACTGGTGTGTCACTCTCTTTGCACCTAGCTACAACTTGCCATTAGATTGTCTTGTCTTGAAGACTGTTAGTCTATTTGGAACTCATATCTCATTATTCCTTTATGCATTTGAATCTTAAATTGAATCAGATTGTATTTTCTAAAAATTTCAGATTGAATATATGCTGGTTGAATTTCCAGGAAGTGTTTGTCTCACTGTTCTCTTGACTAAATTTCATAAATTATCTGTGAATTCAGCAATAAAGCAGGTTGGAGGGTTTTCCAGCACAAATTAATGGGGTTCCAAAGGTAACAATGTTATCAATGAAACACTTTAGATGGTAGCTTAGAAAAAAATGTGTGGTTATATTTCTTTAAAAAGTCACTTAACAGGAGAATGTCAAAATAAATAAATCGAATAGCAAAATAAAATACAGAAAATAATAGACAGGGAGATAAATATTTTGCAAATGGGAAATACAGTATAAAATCGAGAAATAGAAGAGAATGGGAGAAAGGGTCATAGACAGAATTAAAGTGTGTCACTTACACATACCACAATGAATGTATTCATTATGTACTGCAAACATGTACTAATCAAAAGTAATTTAATTATGTGTGCTGACAGTTTTATGGATGAAATACTATGATGTCTATATATTTGGAAATATAGAGAATAGATAGATCATGAGTTTATTACTGAAATAATGAAGCTGGATGAAATGTATACAAAAGATTATTATTTTATCATCTGTACTTTTGCATGTCCTTAAAATTTTTTATAATACCATGACTATTACACATTTTGGGTTTCATTGCTCCCACGGTTCTTATTACTTTTTTGGAAGAGAGTAAAACCAAATGTGACATAACAGAACAGAATCGGTCAAGTCAAAAGGGTGAACGTAATAGATAATGTAAAAACATAATACAAGGTGATCAACAATGGTTACCATAATGCCTCCCGCTATCTCTAATAGAATTGCCTATATCGTTAGTTATAATACAATTGAACAAAACAGTAAAGAATAAAACCGACAAAACCAAAACATTGGAGACATTGTAGGTCTTCAAAAGTAGATAAAAGTCAACGAGAATGGGAGTTATAATGAATCTTATTATCTTCACAGCTGATGCCTAAACTTTCGAACCTGATACTATCCAGCACAACAGAATAGGGGAACATCAGTTAAAAACCAGATGGTGAGAGTAATACAGGGCTTTAAATCGAGGTAATGGAAAGTCAAAGTGGGTTACTATAATATATCCTGCTTTTTTTTTCCCTTTAATTAACTGCATGTATATTTAAGTGTATAAGATAGAAAATGATATCACAGAGTTTTATTGGATCATTGAACAAAACTGTTTGCAGTATTGTTGATGGAATGTCCACTTTACAAGCTTTAATTTTGTGACTTGAACAATTATTTCTAAGATGACAATATGTAATCCATTAACTAGTGATTTCCTACTGTTCATTTTTTTCTGTAAATCTGTATAACTTGTACCCTTTCTCTGCTTTTTTTTCCTTTTCTCCTTAAATAAAATTAATAAAAAAATGTATAATAAAGATTAGATAGCTTTAGTGATAACAAAAAGCAATTTTCTGCTTATCTTAAAAATGATAAAAGATTGAACACGGTGTTTGGGACAAGCGTTTTCTACAATGCAATACCTAGTACAAGCTTTGGTACTTCTGCTTCTGCCTCATTGAAAGTCAGACTCTACCAGGTTTATGTTGTCCTTGTAACTGAATTTCCCACAGGCGAGGATCCAGCCCACTAACTAGTCAACAGCAACATACGCTGCATCAATAATGTAGTTCCTGCCACCAATTACCACTTGTACTACAGGGTGAACCATCTTACTGGTTACTGCAGCAAGCTGCATTTGCTTGCAGGAATGATGTAAACATATCATCCCAACACTGATCTCAAAATCCATTGTGGTCAAAGCCTAGTGCAAGTTGATTGACAACACTCAACCCAGTTTTACCTCACAATGTGATTAAAAATGACCTGTGAATTCATCTCTATGGAATCTCCACAATGCATTTTAAAGTTCTCAAAAGGATCTTTTCAGATCTGTTAATTACTGTTGCCAGAAGAATGTTGACAAAAGAATGTCAATTACTGTTTTCAAGTCCAATTTTTTCCTAGTTCATTCTTTCAAACTATACTTCAATGCCCATTATTCCTTAAAGCAGGGAAACAAAAAAAGTATAAAAACTGTCACAGTTACTCTTTTCTTGTTATTGAGACAAGACACACAAGTCCCCAAATTAATGGAGGAAAGTTTATTTAGCTCAGTTTGTAGCGATTTCGGGCCATAATCCACTGGCTACAATGCAAGTTCCCATGTCAGAAGAGAAACAATTTATGATGGCAGATGACAAAAAAAGCAAAAACAGAGGAAGAGCAAGTCTCTTTTCCTCCTTTATATTGTATGCAAGTTATCCACCCTAAGGTGTGTGTAGCACATACACCCCCAATCCCAGGACTAGACAATGAACCGCTCACTAACTCTAGATTCGGCCACCTCCAATATGTCCAGTCCCATGATCACATGAAGCTTTGGGTACGAGCATCCAGACACAAAACATAATATTCCATCCCTGGCCCTCCAAAGACTCATGAACATCTCTTTATGCGAAAGGCATTTAGTCTGTCTCTAAGAGTTACCCAAGTCTTAATAGTTTCAGCATTGCTGACAAATCCAAGACTGAGACATAAGGCAAACTCTTAGCTGTCAGCTCTTGTACAAATGAAAGTTAGACACTTCTAACATTCAATGGCACAAGATAGGCATCTCCATTCTAAAAGTTACAAACGGGGATACAAAGGATTGGAAGCAAAGGAAGACCATATCCTATCAGGGAAAATATTGAGTCTTGTACTTCCATATGTAGCACTGAGGCAATCTGTGGTAAGATGTGAACTCAGAAGGACTTGGGTGGCTCCTCTCCTACAGCACTTCCAGTGGTAGTGGCTCCCACAGCTTCCCACTTAGGCCCCTTTGCTCCTTCCTTGCCACTGTCTTAGATTATCCATGTTCCTGGCTTTTCCAAGCTTCTGAAGTTTCCACTGCACCTTTGGCTTCACACTCACAGCTCCACACACTGTCCTCTCAGGGTCACTGCCTGGCCTCCTAGGCCTTCTGCAATTGAGGTGGAAGCCCCACAACTCTAGCATTCTGCATATACCTAAAACAAGTCATGTGGATTATGTCAAATTCTGCTGCCAGCTGGCACAGTAGCCAGGCTTTCCTCTCTCTTGGGTGTGGGT